ATCTCAAGTATGCAGATTCAATATCTCCCTCTTTAAATCCCATGGTTCCAATCAACTCATAAAAAGTGGACAAATGAATATAGGGATCTTCATGATCCATTCCGGTGAATTGATGAACACTAATCAAGCTTAAGAATGTTGGCTTCATCTCCAAGGATTGGTTGACTGGTATCGCAATGCTGGAGAAGTGTCTCAGACCTTGACCTTGTTGCATAGCATAGTCTCTGAGTGTTCTTCTAGGTGGATTCGTTCTTTCTCCCTCCATGTCTTCTATGATTAGGTCTGGAAAGTTGAGTGTAGGCGACGAGTTGATTGATTCTCCTGTTGCTTGTTCTTGAGTTTCCCTTCTTCTTCTTCTTCTTCTACCACGATTCCTTCGAGCAACTTTTTCAATCTCTGGATCAAATTCCAACTGATCTATAGATATTTGTCCTCTTAAAAGCATAAATCAAAGAGCAACTCAAGCAAGAATTAGCATAGGACAAACAATAAAGAAAAAAAAAACTAGACAAAGAATTTTCAAGAAACGTCGTTCCTCGGCAATGACGCCAGAAATATTTGTTATTTTCTTGGAAAACATACTAATATTATCAATTGCGATAATATTCAATTATATATATATTATATATATATATATATATATATATATATATATATATATATATATATATATATATATATATATATATATATATATCCCATTATAACTTGGCTTATACCATTTACATTCAATCGTGATAGCCGAGACAGTTCTAGATTGTAGCCATAATCTATTTTAAGTAAACAAAAAATTATATATTTTTTCCATGTAAATATACACAGCACCATGATTCAAAATAAATATTCAACTCACTAAATAAATGAATATAAAATGAAATTTTCAACATATTAGAAAAGATATAGGACGTATGGGTGATAAAAACTCGTGAAAAGTGGGAAATAAGACTCCAAATAAATAAATAGGATATCAAGACGAGAAATTGGAGAATAAAGTTTAAACAAATTATGAAATTAAAGATAATAACGTAAAGATAAAAAGAAATAATCACTTATTTTAGGCCAGTTGGAAAATTAATTTCTTACCTCTTACTTGCTTTGTTTAATTTATGATGATCTGTTTAATTAGTGGTTTTCATTTCAAACATAATTTTAATTTTTTTTTTCATACTAAATCTAAATGTTCATCAACTATGATTTGTTTATATTTATATTTTATAATTTGAATAGTGTGAGAGTATAACAATTATAAATTGTTTAAACTCAAAAATATTGAATTTAAAATAGGACTATAATTCACTTTTATATATATATATATATATATATATATATATATATATATTATAAAATAAAATAATTTAACCATGATTGTTTTGGATAAAACTACTTATTACATATATTTACATATTTTTAATATCTAGTAAAAAGTTATTGACATTATAATATTTAACAGAAAAACTTTTTAATAATAATCAAAGGTAAAGAAATTGATCACTTTGTAACTCGATGTTATTTTGTATCATTACAAGAAAAAATCATTTAAGCGATCGAAAAATTCGGTTGATAATGTTAAAAAATCGGTCGTTAATCAGTTAGTGACCGAAATGCGTCATCGCAAAAGGCCAAATCGCTAATGTGTTAGTGACCGATTTTCATTTCGATAGTAAAATAGTGACCGATTTTAATTTTGGTTGCAAAATAGCGACCAAAATTAATATATTAAATCGGTCGCTAAAAAATCGGTCGTTAATTAGTTAGCGACCGAAAAGCGTCGTTGCAAAAGGCCAAGTCGCTAATGTGTTAGCGACCAAAATTAATATATTAAATCGGTGGCAAAGTTAAAAAATAGTGACTGATTTATATCGGTCGCTAAATCAATGACAAAATTAATTATTTTTATTTATTTAATAATCCCCTACCTCTTTTATATTATATTTTTATTATTCATTACAATTTTAAAAGTTGGACTTATTACCAGATTTATTGTTATTGTCAAGATTTGAACCCGATACCTTAAAGTTGGAATCTGAAACTCAAACCACTAAGCCACTAGGATTTTTCAATAATAACTTACAAATAAATTATATTTATATACAAATAAATATATATCCGTATAAATATATAAATATAAATATATTTTAATATATATTTAAATATTGATATATTTATATATTGATATATTGATATATTGATATATTTATTTATATCTTTATACATTTATATATTTAAGAAAAAAATTAAAATTTTAAATATTAAATTTTAAAAATAATATTATATTTTTAAAAACAAATATTAGAAAAAGGTTTAAAAATATATATAAATTATATTTACATGTACAAAATATTAAAGATATATATTTATATCTTTACATATTTATATATTTATATCTTTATATATTTATATATTTATATCTTTATATAT